AAAAGGAAAAGGCACCAACTTATAAACCTTTTGGATATCTCTTCAAAACACTTTCTGGACTGAGAATTGTCTTTCAAATGCCATGAAATATGAGATTTAAATATAGTATGAAATTCCACCTGTGACAGGAACAGGAGGTACAACAGTGGCTGCTGGAGTTGGACTGAGCTGACAACCAGTTGAGATTGCTGCCATCAAAACCACCTGTGGCCTGAAGGAACCAGTTGTAAGGTATGTGTGGGTAACAGTAGTTTCCCGGGAAATGAGAGTTCCACTGTTGTCACCAAAATCCCAGTTGAAGGTGATGTCTGACCCACTGAGATAATGGCTAGGGTCATGCAAATTAATGCCAAAGGACACAGCTCTGTTCTGGATAAAGCTTTGGTCACCCTGATTGATGTCACCAACCTGAGATAATATCACTGTAAAAGGAATCTGGTCTAGAGAAGAAGAGGAAAGGGTCGTTAGGGTCTTGTGGGAATATGTTCAGTAATTGACAGCATTGGTTTACTCTCCAGTTACATTGATTACTTTCCCGTTCAGTTCAAGGCAGTGGTTTAATGGCATGAATTCTTACTACAGTGTAAGGTTTTCCTAAAGGATAGAGATGATAGAGGATTTCTAGATAAATGTGCAATTATCAAACTACTCACCAGTGATGGAGAACTGGGTAGATGCATAACCAAGGGGAACAAATTTGTCTTTGCCACGGCAGTGATAAATTACTATATCCATTGTGTAAGAACCAAGAGGCATATTGTCTGTTTCAATGGTCAGTAGAGAGGAAGGACCATCAGCCACCTGCCAATATTTTCCTGAAAGAGAGAAACAGTCAAAAGAGTAACTAAAAATCAGTCACTAATAGCCCCAACCCTTAAAGTCTTCATAGGTTGTTGATCCAGGTGTGTGTCCTACTTGCATATGTAAATCCATCTCTCCACTAAATGTGTAGGTTAATATATTTTACTCTAGAATAAAAATACAGGTTTAAACTTGCTCTTACCCCATGTTTTCCATACATAGATGAAGCGGGGCTTTTTGTTAGAGACCTTAGTGAAGGGTGTCCTGTCAGGAAAGACACCTGTCCATTCTTGAGGGATGTTGGACTCGGGGTATACAGTCTGGTTCATAGTATAGGATGTTCCTAAAAGACAAATTGTGTGTGTGTGTGTGTGTTTGTGTATATATATACAGTGGGTACGGAAAGTATTCAGACCC